GATGATGACGGCGCGATGATGACGCGATGACGGCGCGGCGATAAGCGATGACGCGACGGAAAAGTGATTGATGACGCGCAAAAGCGATGATGCCGATGAGACGCGCGATGATGACGCGATGATGAGGAAAAAGAGAGAGATGATGACGGACGCGATGACGCGTGATGATGACGGACAAAGCGATGATGGAGGCGTGATGATGACGCCGATGGACGCGTGATGATGATCGTTGATGATGATGCGAGTGCGCGATGATGATTGACGATGATGACGCGGATAAGCGATGATGACGCGTGATGATGACGCGCGCGTGTGAGACGACGCGCAAAAAGATGATGACGCGTGCGATGATGACGGGAAAAGCGCAAAAAGGATGACGTGACGCCGATGATGACGCAAGTGATTGATGACGCAGATGATGACGTGACGCGCGATGATGACGCAGATGACGCAAAAAGTGATGATGACGCGTGAGAGGACGGATGCAAAGCGATGATGACGCGACAAAGGATGAGCGCGATGATGACGTAAAAAGATGACGACGGACGAGCGATGATGACGTGACGAAGCGATGATGACGCAAGTGACTGATGACGCGCAAAAAGAGGCGAATTTGACGCAAAGCGATGATGACGTGACGATGATGACGGAAAAAGTGATGATGACGGCGCGGTGATGACGACGCAAAAGCGATGATGACGCGAGAGGACGGAGGAGCGATGATGACGCGGATAAAAGATGATGACGCCGAGCGATGATGACGATTGATGACCGTGATGATGACACGCGTGCGAGGATGACGCAAAAATGATGATGAGCTGACGCGATGATGACGTGACGCGATGATGACGAAAAAGTGATGATGACGCGAGCGAGACGACGATGATGACGCAAAAAGTGATGATGACGCCGATTGATGACGATGACGTTGATCAAAAACATGATGACGGCGCGTGATGATGACGCGTGCGAGATGACGCAGCAAAAGCGATGATGACGCGTGATGAGTGACGACGCAAAAAGCGATGATGACGCGCAGATGATGATGAGGACGAGCGATGAGCGACGCGTGACGGACGCGTGATGATATGAAGCTGAGCCAAGATGATGACGAAGATGATGGAGTGATGACGCAGATGATGACGCGAGATATTGACGCAAGCGATGATGACGCGACGCAAAGGATGATGAAGCGATGACGACGTTGACGGATTGATGACGTTGACGCGATGACGCCGATGACGACGCGTGTGCGAGCGATGACGCGGATGATGACGGTTGATGATGAGCGACGCGCGCGATGATGACGCGTGAGCGAGTGCGATGATGACGCGATGATGACGGTGATGATGACGCGTGGCGAGCGATGTGATTTAAAATGATGATGACGAAAAAAGTGATGATGAGAGATAAAGCGATGATGACGCAGCGCGATGATGATGCGTGCGAGCGATGACGATGATGACGCGTGATGATGACGCGTGAGCGATGACGTTGAGATGAGCAAAAAGCGATGATGACGGTGAGCGATGACGCGCGACGCGCGATGATGACGCCGGAGCCCAAAGCGATGATGAGATGATGAGCAAATGATGATGACGATCAAAGATGATGACGCGTGAAGCGATTGATGATTGATGACGCAAAAAGAAAGCGATGATGACGATGACGCGTGCGATGATGACGGACGCAAGCGATGATGAGTGCGATGATGACGCGATGGACGCGCGATGATGACGTGATGATGATGAGCGATGATGCGATGATGATGCGACGCAAAGCGATGATGAGCGCGATGATGACGCGATGCGCGATGATGACGGAGAAGCGATGATGACGCGCGATGACGGCGTGATGATGATGACGCGTGAGGAGACGCGAGCAAAAGCGATGATGACGGGATGCGATGATGACGCGTGAGCGATGACGCGATCAAAAAGATGAGTGACGCAAGTGATGGCGACAAGACGGAAAGATGAGATGACGCGCGGATGATGACGTTGACGAAAGCGATGATGACGGATGATGACGCAGCGATGACGCAAAAGAGCGATGATCGCGTGCGTGAGCGATGACGCGCGATGATGACGCGAGGAGACGTGATGCGCGATGATGACGAAAAAGATGACGCGCAGGATGAGACGCGTGATGATGACGCAAAGCGATGCGACGATGCGATGATGACGTGACGCGCGATGATGACGCGTGATGACGTTGACGAGCGATGATATCGCGCGATGATGAGATGATGACGCGACGGGCGATGAGGACGCGACGCGATGATGATGATGATGAGCGCGTGAGTGATGACGCGAGCGCGATGACGACGCATCGCGATTGATGATGACGGCGCGATTGATGACGTATGATTCAAATGATGATGACGAAAAAGTGCGATGATGACGCGCGTGCGAGGCGAGGAGACGTTGACGCAAAAAGATGATGACGCAGATGACGCAAAAAGACGGCAAAAGATGAGGACGGGATGATGACGCGTGACGGAGCGATGATGACGCGCGTGATGATGACGGAGACGGGAAGCGATGGATGACGGATTAAAGCGATGATGACGGAGATACTGACGGCGATGATGACGACGTGATGACGCGCGTGTGCGAGAAAGTGAGGACGCAAAAGTGATGGCGACGGCAGATGAGCGACGGATGCGTGATGAGGACGCGCAAAAGTGATGATGACGGGTGAGCGATGACGGAGCGCGATGATGACGCCGATGATGACGATGACGGTTGGAAAAAATGATGATGAAATGATGCGATGACGACGCGCGAGTGAGCGATGACGCGACGGGAAGCGACGGAGACGCGGAGCGATGACGCAAGCGATGAGACGCGTGACGGCGCGATGATGACGCGATGATGACGACGGGCGCGATGATGACGTTGAAGCGATGACGCGTGATGATGACGCAAAAGTGAGCGATGACGAAAAGCGATGAGACGAAGCGATGATGACGCAAAGATGAGCGACGGAGATGGGAAAAAGCGATGATGACGTGACGGATGCGATCAAAAAGTGATGATGACGCGATGAGACGACGATGACGACGGGCGATGATGACGCAGGATGACGTGCGTGAGCGGTGATGACGCGATCGAGCGCGATGACGAGTGACGCAAGATGATGACGCGTGATGAGGACGCGATGAGACGATGCAGAGCGATGACGAGCGATGACGCGGAGCGATGATGACGCGTGATGACGCGAGCCGATGATGACGCGATGATGACGGGTGAGCGATGACGTTAAAGCGCGATGATGAAGAGCGACGCGCGGATGATGACGCGAAAGCGATGATGAAAAAAGTGATGATGACGCAAAGAGATGACGCGACGCAAGCGATGATGATGCGCGCGGATGATGACGACGCGATGATGACGCGCGCGATGATGACGCAAGGATGATGACGGGCGCGTGATGATGACGCGTGTGAGTGAGGACGGAGCCAAATGATGATGACGCAGTGATGAGCGGATGAAAAGCGATGATGACGGTGATGATGACGCGACGGGATGATGACGCGATGGGATGACGATGACGGGCGCCGATGATGACGCGCGTGCGTGATGATGACGCGGACGGTGCGCGATGATGACGCGATTGATGATGACGCGATGATGACGCGTGAGCGATGACGCGACGGGCGAAATGCTGGCGACGTGCGCGATGGGAGGACGGGAAAAGCGATGATGACGGATGATGATGACGGGCGGAGGACGCGCAGATGATGACGACGGGGTGCCGATTGATGACATGATGATGATGACGGTGATGATGACGCGCGTGCGATGAGCGACGCGATGAGTGACGATGAGGACGCGCGATGATGAAGCGATGACGCGAGCGATGATGACGCGTGATGATGACGGGGCGACGATGAGATGATGACGCGATCGCGATGATGACGCGATTGATGACGCAAAAAGATGATGACGCAAGTGAGCGATGACGAAAAAAGTGATGATGACGCAAAAAGATGATGACGTGACGCAAGATGATGAGACGCAAAAAGTGATGATGACGCAAAAGATGATGACGAAAAAGATGCGACGGACGATGATGACGTTGATTTAAAGACGGATGATGATGACGCGTGTAAGAGCGATGACGCGATCAAATGATGATGACGTTGAGCCAAAAGCGATGATGACGCGATGATGACGAGATGATGATGATGAGCGCAAAAGCGATGCGATGATGACGCAAGTGATGAGACGCGCGTGAAAGGGTGACGGAAGCGATGAAGACGCGGATGATGAGCCGAAAGTGATGATGACGAAAGACGGAAGCGATGATGACAAAAAGTGATGATGACGGGGGATGGATGACGCAGACGGGAAAAGCGATGAGAGCGTGACGCAAAAGCGATGAGGACGGAGCGATGATGATGACGACGGTGATGAGGAAATGATGACGGCGCGCGATGATGACGCGCGGTGAGTGATGACGTGACGATGATGATTTGACGGATGATGACGAGATGATGACGAAAAGAGCGATGACGCGCGATGATGACGCAAAGATGATGATGACGCGTGAGCGATGATGACGAAATGATGATGACGCGTGATGATGACGCGATGCGATGATGACGGAAAAGTGATGAGGACGTGTGATGATGACGTTGACGATGAGGAACGCGCGACGGAAGCGATGATGACGAAAGAGCGATGAGACGCGCGGAGCGATGACCGATGAGCGCAAAGATGATGACGCGACGAAAAGCGATGATGACGACGCAAAGCGATGATGACGCAAAGATTGAGCGCGATGATGAGAGAGCGACGTGAAGTGATGACGGGCGATGAGCGACAAAGCGATGAGGACGGACGGCGATGATGACGGGCGAGTCGATGAGGACGCAAGTGATGGATGACGTGAGCGATGACGCAGACGGATGATGACGGTGAAATGATGATGACGCGCGGTGCGAGGCGATGACGTGACGAAAGAATGATGATGAATGCGCGATGATGACGTGATCAGCGATGATGACGCGTGATGATGACGCGATAAGAGCGATGAATGATGATGATGAAAGATGATGACGGATGATGAGACGCGATGATGACGACTGAATGATGACGCGATGATGACGCGTGAGCGATGACGTGACGGAAAAAGATGATGATGCGCGATGATGAGCGCGATGAGCGACGGATGATGACGGCGATGAACGCGATGACGCGACGGAGCGATGATGATGCGTGATGATGATGGATGGAGGACGAATGACGTGCGTGATGAGGACGCGATCGATGATGACGCGCGCAGAAGTGAGCGATGATGATGACGCCGATGATGACGCCGATGATGAGGACGTTGATGATGACGCGATGATGACGCGATGATGAGGACGCTGATGATGACGCTGATGATGAGGACGCGCGATGATGAGGATGCTGATGATGACGCGATGATGACGATGATGATGCTGATGATGAGGATGCTGATGATGACGCGATGATGACGCGATGATGAGGACGCTGATGTGATCTGACGATTTCGACGATGATGACGATTCGACGATGAGACGCGACGATGATGACGATGATTCGACGATCGACGATGCTGATGATTTCGATGATGATGATGAGGATTTTCGATGATGACGCGATGATGACGCTGATGATGACGCCGATGATGAGGATTCGATGATGAGGACGCTGATGATGAGACGCCGATGATGACGTGCTGATGATGATGATGCGACGAGATGACGCCGATGATGAGACGCTGATGATGATGATGCTGATGATGATGACGCGATGATGACGCCGATGACGCTGATGATGACGATGATGCTGATGATGACGCTGATGATGACGTGCTGATGATATGATGACGCGATGATGATGCCGATGATGAGGATGTTGATGATGAGGATGCGCGATGATGATGCGCGATGATGACGCGATGATGATGCTGATGATGACGCACATGATGATGATGACTGCGCGATGATGAGATGCTGATGATGACGCGATGATGATGCCGATGATGAGGATTTTGATGATGATTGCCGATGATGAGGATGCGCGATGATGACGCGATGATGACGCGCGATAGGATGCGATGATGACGCGATGATGAGACGTGATATGACGCGCGATGATGAGGACGTTGATGATGAGGACGCGCGATGATGAGGACGCGCGATGATGAGGATGCTGATGATGAGGATTGATGATGACGCCGATGATGAGGATTTGATGATGACGTTGATGATGACGCTGATGATGATGCGCGCGATGATGACGCGATGACGTTGATGATGACGCGCGATGACGCGGATGATGAGATGCGCGATGACAGGATGCGCGATGAGGACGCGATGATGAGGACGCGATGATGAGATGCGCGATGATGATGATGATGATGATGACGCGCGATGATGAGATGCTGATGATGACGCGATGATGATGACGCGCGATGATGACGCCGATGATGAGGACGTTGATGATGATGACGCCGATGATGACGTTGATGATGATGCCGATGACGCGATGATGACGCCGATGATGATGACGTGATGATGACGCCGATGATGAGATTGATGATGAGGACGCGCTGATGATGAGGATGCTGATGATGACGACGTGCCGATGATGACGCCGATGATGAGATTTTGCCGATGATGACGCCGATGATGACGCCGATGATGATCTTCGATGATGATCTTTCGACTGATGATGAGGATCTGATGATTTGACGACGATGATGCCGACGACGAGGATGCGCCGACGATGAGGATTTTTCGATGATGACGCTGATGACGCTGATGATGACGTTGATGACGATGACGCCGATGATGATCGATGATGATGACGATGATGAGATGCTGATGATTTTCGACGACGACTTCGACGATCTTCGACGATGATTCCGATGATCGACGACGATCCTTGATGATGACTTGATTCGACGACGATCTTCGATGAGATCTTCGACGATCCTGATCGATGATGCTGATGATGAGGATGATGATGACGCCGATGATGACGCCGATGATGAGGACGCGCGATGACGCTGATGATGACGCGATGATGACGATGATGACGCTGATGATGACGTTGATGATGAGATTGCCGATGACGCTGATGATGACGCGATGATGACGCCGATGATGAGGACGTTGATGATGACGATGATGAGGATCCTTCCTTCCTTCGACGACTTCCTTCCGACGATCCTTCCTTTGACGATGATCCTTCGACGATTTCGTCGACGATGATCTTTCTTTCGACGATCTTCGACGATGATTCTTGCGATGATGATGCGCGATGATGAGGACGCGATGATGACGCGATGATGCGATGATGAGATGATGACGCGATGATGACGCGATGAGATGACGCGCGATGATGATGCTGATGATGACGATGATGAGATGCCGATGATGACGCCGATGATGAGGACGCTGATGATGAGGATGCTGATGATGAGGATGCCGATGATGACGCTGATGATGATGCTGACGATGATGACGCGATGATGACGCGATGATGATGCTGATGATGATGACGCGATGATGATAGATGATGATTGAGATGGATGATGATGATGGACGGATGATGAGATGGACGCGATGATGATGGACGTGATGATGATGGATGCGATGATGATGAGATGGACGCGATGATGATGGACGATGATGATGGACGATGATGATGGACGCGATGATGATGGACGCGATGATGAATTGACGCGAAGATGATGAATGACGATGAGATGGACGTGATGATGAGATGAGGACGTGATGAGATGGATGCGTGATGATGATGGACGTGATATGAGATGGACGATGATGAGATGACGGATGATGAGGACGATGATGATGAGATGACGATGATGGATGGACGCGATGATGATGGACGCGATGATGAGGATGGACGATGATGATGGACGTGATGATGATGATGATGATGATGATGACGATGATGATGAGATGATGAATGATGACGATGAGATCGATTGATGAGAGATGGATGCGGAGGAGGAGATGGATGCGAGGAGAGATGGATGTGAGTGAGGAGAGTGGATGCGTGAGGAGATGACGCGGAGTGAGGATGGATGCGGAGGAGATGGACGGAGATGGACGGAGAGATGGACGCGATGAGGATGGACGATGATAGGATGGACGTGATGATGATGGACGATGGATGAGGAGTGGATGATGACGAGATTGATGACTGGATGATGAGGACGGATGCGATGATGAGATGGACGTGATGATGATGATGATGACGGAGATGATGATGAGATGGACGTGATGAGAGATGGATGCGGAGTGATGACGGACGGAGATGATGATGGACGCGATGATGATGGACGTGATGATGATGGACGCGGAGAGATGGACGCGGATGATGATGGACGCGATGATGAGGATGGACGGGAGCGATGATGATGGACGAGTGATGATGAGATGGACGATGATGATGGACGCGTGATGGGGATGAGATGAATGATCGAGATGACAGACGACGATGAGATGGACGATGATGAGAGAGAGATGGACGATGATGAGATGGACGTGATGATGAGATGGACGATGATGAGGACGTGATGATGAGAGGACGATGATGAGGATGGACGTGATGGATGGACGTGATGATGAGATGGATGAGAGATGGACGATGATGAGATGCGATGTGATGATGATGAGATGGACGCGATGATGAGTGACGCGATGATGATGGACGATGATGAGATGGATGCGATGATGAGATGGACGCGGATGATGATGGACGCGATGATGAGATGGACGGATGATGATGGATGATGATGAGGATGGACGATGATGATGCGATGATGATGATGATGATGACGTGATGATGCGAGACGATGATGGACGCGAGGATGAGATGGACGCATGAGGACGGACGCGATGATGAGGATGACGGAGCGATGATGGATGATGATGCGATGATGATGGACGCGTGATGATACGGACGGATGATGATGGACGCGATGAGAGATGGACGTGATGATGATGGATGCGATGATGATGGACGCGATGATGGATGCGGAGGATGAGATGACGCGGAGCGATGAGATGACGCGAGTGATGAGATGGATGATGAGATGACGCGATGATGGATGGACGCGGATGACGGACGGAGGATGATGGACGCGATGATGATGGACGCGATGATGATGGATGATGATGATGATGATGACTGATGATGAGACGCGTGATGATGAGATGGACGGATGATGAGATGGACGTGATGATGAGATGACGCGATGATGAGATGGATTTGATGATGCTGATGGAGTGATGATGATGCGGATGATGATGACGGATGCGATGATGATGATGATGAGATGACGCGATGATGACGGACGCGATGATGACGGACGATGATGATGAGATGACGCGATGATGATGGACGGAGATGATGATGGACGCGATGATGATGACGCGATGATGAGATGGATGATGATGATGAGATGGACGCGATGATGATGACGATGAGAGATGGACGCGATGATGATGATTGACGACGAGATGGACGCGATGATGAGATGGACGATGATGACGGACGATGATGACGGACGGATGAGAACGATGGACGATGAGTGATGGACGTGAGGATGAGATGGATGATGAGAGATGAAGATGAGTGAGTGATGGAGGATGATGAGGAGATGGATGTGAGGAGGAGATGGATGGGAGGAGGAGGATGTGAGGAGAGCGGATGTGGAGGAGGAGATGGACGTGAGGAGTGATGGATGGAGGAGGATGAGATGATGGATGATGATGATGGACGCGTGATGAGAGATGCAGACGGAGGATACGGAGCGTGATGGAGATGGATGCGTGATGGGAGAGGATGGATGGAGATGAGATGGATGATGATGATGATGATGACGGAGACGTGATGAGAGAGATGGACGGATGATGGATGGACGCGATGATGAGATGGACGAGTGATGATGAGATGGACGTGATGATGCGGATGATGATGACGATGATGATGGATGATGATGAGGATGGAGATGGACGATGATGAGATGGACGATGATGATGATGATGAGACGGATTTAATGATGATGATGCGATAGATGATGAAGAGCGGAGGAGAGATGGGATGCGGAGGATGAGATGGATGCGGAGGAGGATGGATGCGTGAGGAGGAGATGACGCGGAGGAGATGACGCGGAGGAGACGGAGAGAGATGATGACGTGATGAGAGATGGACGATGATGAGATTGAGGACGTGATGACGGACGTGATGATGATGGACGCGATGATGAGATGGAGACGATGATGAGATGATGTGATGATGGACGGACGCGATGATGATGGATGATGATGGATGGACGATGATGAGGATGACGCGATGATGATGGACGGATGATGATGGACGCGATGATGATAATGATGATGATGGACGGATGATGATGATGATGATGATGATGACGATGATGAGACGGATGTGATGATGATGGACGCGATGAGGATATTGAATGGATGATGATGATGCGACGGATGATGAGATGGATGATGATGAGATGGACGCGATGATGAATGGACGCGGATGATGATGGATGATGATGAGATGGACGATGATGAGACGGACGTGATGATGAGATGGATGATGAGGATGGACGGATGATGAGATGACGCGATGATGACGGACGCGATGATGAGGATGACGATGATGACGGATGATGCTGACGGATGATGATGAGCAGCTGATCGAGAATATGATGACGATTATTTGACGACGATTTGACGGACCGATGACGACGAGATGATGACGGATGATGACGATGATGGATGGATGATGATGCGATGATTTATTTGATGACGCGATTTTATTGCGCGATGACATGACTGATGATGACGATGATCGATGATGATCGGATGCGATGATGATTCGACATGAATTATGATGCGACGATGACGACGACGATTTGATTTTGATGTGATGATGACGAGGATGATTTGACGACGACGATTGATGATGATTTGCTGATTACGATTCCGACGACGCATACCAGACTTTCATCGACGATTTGATTTAGATGACGATTGACGATTTTGACGAGATTTGACGACGAGACGATTTCGATGACTTCCGATGATTTTAGGATGATATGATGATATTTTAGATGATGATTATTTGAGACTGACGATGATGCGATGCGATGACCGATTTTCGATAGACGATGCGATTTCAGATGATTACGATGCTGACGGGATGATATTTTATTGATGATGATGATGACGATGACGTGATGATGATTTACATTTGACGATGCGATTTTGATTATTTTTGATGATGATGAGATGATGACGGAGATGATGATACGAGATGATGATGATGATGACGACGAGATGCGATGATGATGCGATGATGATGACGGATGATGCGATGATGATGCGGATGATGATGCGACGATGATGATGGATGATGCGATGCGGATGATGATGATGAGATGATGATGGATGATGATGATGATGAGATGATGATGCGATGCGATGATGCGATTTTTGATGATGCGACGATGATGATGACGATGCGATGATGATGATGATGCCTGACGACTTTGACGATTCCATCTGACGATGAGACTTTTTGACTAGACGACTTGACTGAATACGATTTAACGACGACGACGCTACTCGACGATTGATTTTATCGACGACGATTATCCGAGGACGCTGACGACGACGCATTCCACGACGACTTTAATGACTTACATCTTTGGATGACGATGACGATGATATTATTTTTGATGATGATTTTCGACGATGATGATGATGCGGATTTGATGATGGCTTGATGATGATGAGATGATTTTTGGATGACGGATTTCGATGATTTATTATTTACTTTGATGATGGAGATGATGATGATTGAGGATGATTATTTGAGACGCGACGATGATGACAGATACGATGCTGACTTGATGATGACGATGATTATTTGATGATGCGATTTTGATGATGATGCGATGATTTTTTTTCGATTTTGATGATTGTTGACGATTACTATGACGACGATTTGACGACGATTTTTGATTGACGGGATTTCCGACGATTAGATTCCCGACGATTTGATTTTACGACGCATTTGATGATTTCGAGATTTTGATGATGATTTCTTGATATTACAGATTGATTTCGGATGATGCGATTTGATGATGACGATTTACGATTTATCGATTATCTGACAGATGACGAGATGACGGACTTGAGGACGACTTTGATTTATTTTATTTATTTGATTTTACGACGCTGACGATGACGCGATTTTACGATGACATTTCGGAGACTTTTCGACGACGACGACGACGACGACGACGACTTCGACGACTTTCGATTTTAGCCAGACGACTCGAGACGCTGACTTTATCGACTTTGATTTTACTGACTACCTTTGACGGACGGATCCACGAGACGTGACCTCGACGACGATTATTCCGACTTTGATAGTTTGATGAGTTTTACCAATGAATTGATTTACTTTGACTTTGGACTTATGACGACGACGATTTTATCTTCGACGATTTTGATTCATTTTGAGATGAGACTTTGACTCCGACTTCGACGACCTGACCTTGACGACCACCACTGACGACTTCGACGACGATTGATCTGACCTTGACTTTACTTGATCTCCTGACGACCGACTGACCA